CTTGGATGAACACCTGGCCTCCGGGTTCATTCATCCCGCTACTTCCGCTCACGCGGCACCGGTCCTCTTCGTCCGCAAGAAGGACGGATCCCTCTGCCTTTGCGTTGACTTCCGAGGGCTGAACAAGATCACCAAAAAGGATTGCTACCCACTCCCCCACATCTCCGACCTCCTTGACGCACCTAGCAGTGCCACGGTCTACACCAGACTCGACCTCCAGCATGCTTACCACCTGGTTCGCATTGCAGCAGGTGACGAATGGAAGACCTCCTTCCACACGCGCTATGGTTCCTATGAGTGGCTTGTCATGCCATTCGGTCTCACAAATGCACCCACGGCCTTCCAGCAACTTGTCAACATGATCTTTGCCGACCTCTTGGACGTTTCTGTGGTAGTCTACCTAGATGACATCCTTACCTACTCGGAAGACATGGCTTCACATCAGGAGCATGTCCAAGAAGTTCTTAGGAGACTCCGCAAACACGGCCTATATGCCAATCCGAAGAAATGCGAGTTTCATACGGATACTGCCTCTCTCCCTCCGGACTCACCATGTCCAGCGAGAAGGTTAAAGCCGTCCAAGATTGGCCCAAGCCCCGTAAAGTCAAGGATGTCCAATCCTTCCTTGGTTTCGCTAACTTCTATCGGCATTTCATCCACCAATACTCCGACATTGTGGTCCCCTTGACATGCCTCACACGTAAAGGAGCCCCCTGGTTATTCTCTGACGATTGTTGCTCTGCTTTCAACACCTTGAAAGAAGCCTTCACTTCTGCTCCTATCCTCACACATTGGCTACCTGACGCCCCCCTCATTGTAGAAACCGACGCTTCCGACTACGCAATCTCTGGAATCCTGTCCATCTGCTGTGATGACGGAGAGATTCGCCCCGTCGCTTTCCGCTCTAGAACACTCTCGGCGCCGGAGCTCAATTATGACACCCATGATAAGGAACTGCTCGCCATTCATGATGCATTCCGATCGTGGCGTCATTACCTTGAAGGTTCAGGAACCCCAATTGACGTCGTCACCGACCACAAGAACCTCGAGTATTTTTCCACCACCAAACTCTTGACCCGGCGGCAAGCCCGCTGGTCGGAGTTCCTCTCCCAGTTCCACATGACTGTCTGATTCCGTCCCGGAAGACTCGGAGTAAAACCGGATGCGTTGACTAGACGCTGGGATGTCTATCCCAAAGAAGGGGATATGGACTACGCTCACGTCAATCCGCAGAACTTCTGACCAGTCTTCACTTCGGAGCAGCTCACTGCATCCTTACGAGCTACATTCCTAGCTGCCACAGTAATCCGAGCAGCCATACTCGTCGACACAGAGGCTCTTCATCGAGACATTCTAGCCTCCCTCTCCTCCGACACCACAATCTCTTCTCATCTCGCTTCCCCCAACCTCCCCAATTCCCACTGGTCCGTTGATGCGGAAGGCCTGTTGAGGCTGGACAACCGCATTTACGTTCCGGATTCTAACGATCTCCGTCTCCACGTTTTGCGAGACAAACATGACCACCAACTTTCCGGACACTTCGGTCAAAACCGGACTCTGGATCTAGTGCGTCGTGAGTATACCTGGCCAGGCATCCGTAACTTCGTCAAGAGTTACGTATCCACCTGCACTTCCTGTGCCCATGCCAAAGTTCCCCGTCATAAGCCTTATGGCTTGCTCAAACAACTCCCCATCCCCGAACGTCCTTGGAACTCCATCTCCATGGATTTCATCGAACAGCTACCCTCCTCTTCTGGATTCACTTCCATCTTGGTTGTTGTGGACCGCCTGTCCAAACAGTGCATTTTCATCCCTACCCATGACACCATCACCTCTCCGGAACTGGCCAAGCTCTTCCTCCTCCATGTGTTCTCCAAGCACGGAGTTCCTTCCCACGTCACCTCCGACAGGGGTCCGGAGTTTGTCTCTCATTTTTTCCGTTCACTTGGTAAGGCCCTCGACATCCACCTCCACTTCACCTCCGGTTATCATCTGGAAGGAGATGGTCAGACTGAACAGATGAACCAGACGCTCGAGCAGTACCTGCATATCTACAGTAACTACCAGCAGGACAATTGGTCCGAACTCCTGCCTCTCGCAGAGTTCGCATACAACAACGCTCCGAATGCCACCACAGGTATCTCCCCATTCTTCACCAACAAAGGCTACCATCCAAACATCACCGTTCACCCAGAGTGAGACCTGACATCAGTACGCGCCCAAGAGTACTCCGTAGATCTCGACTCCCTCCATCACTTCCTTCACAAGGAAATGCATCTCGCTCAGATCCGTTATCAGGGCCCTGCAGACTCCCGTCAGAGTCCTGCCCCAGCTTTCGAAGTAGGAACCTCGGTCTACGTAAAGGCCAAGTATTTCTGCTCCACCCGACCTTCCAAAAAGCTCTCCGAGAAGAACCTCAGCCCATTCGAGATCATTGCCCACGTTGGAACTCACTCCCTCACCCTCTGCCTGCCGGAAAACATGCAAGCCATTCACCCAGTATTCCATGTCTCACAGATCGAACCCTCCGTCCCAAACATCATTCCAAACCGCCACCAGCCACCTCTGCCTCCCATAGAAATCGAAGGCGAAATGGAGTACAAGATCGAGGAGATACTCGACTCCAAGATCGACCGACGTAGACACAACAAGTTGCTCTACCTGGTCAAGTGGCTAGGTTATGAAGGGACCGACGAGGAGACACAATGGCTCCTTGCCGAGGAACTCAATCAACGCCTCCAACCTCGTTGAAGCATTCCACTCTCGGTACCCAGATAAGCCTGGACCCAAAGCCCCTTAGGAACCCCGACTCCTCTCTCATCTCTCCTTTCTCTCCACTCCTCACTTCTGTCTTCATTTTTTTTCTTTTCTGTAAGTACAGCTCCCCTCACCTTACTAATTCTGGGCCTTCAAGGGTTCAGGCCTAAGAAGGGGATACTGTCATATCCATCCCCGGCCATCGACTTCCAATCCCTCCGATCCCTCTGGTCTACTTCTGCTCCTTCTCCACTAACCTCGGAGCTCCCGTATTCCGCAACCCCCTCGGTACCCCTCGATGGTCACCACCCCCTCCTTTCAATTTATTACCTACGCCTCCCTAAGTACGGAGCCCCGAAGGCTTCCAGACAGCTCCGATGTCCGCTAGCGCACTCCCACCTCCGCTGGACAATACACTTGCTTGCCCTGCAAGCCCACCTTCGGGCCTATCCCTCCTTTCCGTTTCTGGGTTATCGCCTGCCTTTCCATTAACCCCATAACCCGACTCATCGGTAATATTCAATCAGCTAATGTCTAACCCTGTTAGCTCCGCTCCGCCATTTGCGGACCTGCCCTCACTGTAACTATATATACTTAACTTGTACATAAGTTACACTCCAGTAATAAAATTGACTAGAGTTTACCCTCTTTAGTTCTGGTTGCCAGTTGAGTAAGTTAGGGCATGGATGTGTTACTTGGCACAGCGCTCCTGGCACAAGTCGCTGAGGCCGAAGCCCTCCACCACGGAGACACTCCTTCGTCTCGACCTGGTCTCTGACAGCAATGGCTTTTCCCCAGTCAGACCTAGAAGATAGGCCATGTTCCAAGTGCGTCACTGTTCTTTGTTCTTTATGAAGTATTCACTATCAAGTTGTTTGCTGTCGGACATTGTGGCTGAGAGTGACAGCAAGAGGTAACCTCTAGCCCTACAGTCATCCCGCACATCCTATATACTGTGATGGGCACCATTGAACTTCATTATCGTAAACTGATCTGAGGGTTGCTGCCCTTGCCGTAATTGCCGAGGGTGAAGACCCCGGTGCTTGAGCTGTTGATCCAAATAAGGAAATCCCTGTCGTGAGCCATGATCTTGCCAACTTTTTAGGTAGAGGATTCACCTGCCCCACTTACCCGTTCGAATCAAAACCGGCAGATTTTTTTGCACTTCACTGTAAGGTGAAAGGCTAAACTAAGTTGGACCACTTGCCTGAAGTGGGAATGAGAAGAAGGCTGCTTCTTCAGTCCTGCTTTGGCTAGGTTTATATACATCTGAAAACGGGTCATGTGGAGGTGCCATGTCAACCTCGGATGAAGCTGGGTTGTTGCAGGCAACTCCGCAGTCTATCCCAGGTGTAAGAGGAGAGAAACACAAGTAGGAATGCATGGCGCGTTCGGCGTTGCAGTACCCATGCAGGGTGCTCAGCGTCAGACATGTCCATGCTACAAATGTGGAAAAGAGAGAAGTCGTCTGTATAAGGATAGAAAGGAAAAAGAGAGAGGAGAGAAAGAAGGAAAGGAGGAAGGAGGGAGAGGGAGAAAGAGAGGGCAGAGAGTGGTGCAGCACAGCATGCCCTGACACAAAGTCCCATCAGCACTGCAAAAACACAAGACCATGCAGCACCATTCAGCACTAGTTACCATCATGATCAATCAAGCCAGGTGATCTGAGCGACCTCACACCACACTATTGAGATGGAGCTTTGTGTTGGAGGAACCGTGTGCTATGGGAGGCCGGACGAGTTTGTCGTACAGCCACATTCCCACATCCGAGCGAGGAACTCGCCCGGACAGCCACATTCCCGCGGTAGCGTGACTACTTGGTCACAACACCTTTTCTTCTTTTTTATTTTGGTCACTTCGGACTTATCCGCGAAGGCCACAAACTATATTCAATCATTTGAATTAGTTTCCTTTTTCCTCAGTTCTCGCGCATATTGCTTGAGACTGAGCTATTGGCACTAGAGCAAGCGGTTATTCCGTTACTTTGTACTTCAAATATTGTTATCAGCACATTTATATTGGATAAGACAGTATGAGTGCATGCCAACAAGCAAAACAAGCTCTCTAGTGTAATACTCTGGGAAGCATTCAGCAATGGATTGTGCCAGGATCAGCTAGCTGCATGCCCTAAATTAGGTCTGTTAGATCCCTGCACTATTCTTGATAATCCGCTGCAAGAGTTCTGAACTCTTCCTGGTGTACGCAATAACAGAGAATATCACGACTATTCCTGTACTGTTCAGCCCAGGAATACTCCTCCTCTGTATCCATCATTTAGTGGCTCGGAGCGTCAAGACAGGCATGTGACTACAAGACAGTCGCTCAGCCCACCGGGATCAACAACGACGAGAAAGTGTGATGATAATGATTCCGCAGCACCCAGAAGATAGCACACAATATCACAAACCACAGGCGTTTCTGATACGGTCGGTGTCTTTGAAAGGCAGTATAGGTTAGATAACCAACGTTAAATCCCCGAAAGTCGGTGTTTTGGAGCATATGAAAGGATATACAATATTCATAGTTCGTGGATGTCGTAAGAGGTCGTGAGAAGAGTTAGAATAGAATAGCTTAATGGTAGATCAGAGGATGTCACCCCGGGATGAGAAAGGAAGGATGGGTGGAAAACGAGTGAGGGTGGAAACGTAAATTGCAGGAATAGGCTGAGCATTGCCTGCGAAAAATGTACCAGCCAAAATGGCGAATCATGCAACCGGAGTCCGGAGCTCCCCACCACTGGAAGCAGGACTATCCGCATCGACATTCATAGTTGTGCAGTCCCCGTTGATGTGGTCACTGCGGGAGCTCGTCTGCCGGACTGGCACACCGACCCCAGACGCGTCCTCATCTTCGGACGAACCAGAACGGTCATCCCTGCTAAAACTCGCGTCGTCATCCGACGAATTTACCTAGAACGGTATTTCAAAAAAGAATAGAACACGAATAATCAGCAACCATTGTAAATTCGCCACGGTCGAACGTCCATCCACAAAGGCACGACACGTACCCATTGATCCAATGCCTCCTTCAACCTCCTCTCCTCTTCGGGCGTAATGTTCATCAATTCTTCCCCTGAACCCTTCTCTGCATGCATCCTCAGCAACTGAGCCAATGACCGTTGTCTACTTGGCATCGGCGTGCTTTCTGGTGGTAATTCGACGCGTCGCCGTCTGGGTGAAGGAGTGGCAACGATGCTTATAGAACCATTTGATCGATCCCAGTCCATATCTGACTTGGCAGACATAGAAGAAGACGCGGAGAGAGCTGAGACTGGTCGCTCAATGCTCATTTCTGTTGACATTTCGGTGGCACAAAGGTGGAGAGCGATGTCAAGTGTGATATGGTGATGGAAGCGACAAAACGGTGCAGACAAGAAGGACCAGAATTTGGCTGGTAAGGAGGCGCGAAAATACGTCAGACGCAATTGAGTAGGGGACTTAGGGGAGGACTCTGATCTGTGACTTGGCTGGCTGTTTCCGGGTCACATGATGAGTAAACAAATATAGCTGCTTGGCGACGTTGGCAGTTGAATCGGCAGAAATAAACGTCTCACGCATTTTTTGTACATATATGCTCCAGGATATAGGATTCCCCTCGCTGTAACGAGATTCCGTGAGTCTGGAGCGAAATTTGAGTTTCCTGGTTCGTAAAGCTTGGGCTATCCAAACCCTAGCACACGCAGCGCGGCATTCACGGAAGCGCCATGATAACTTGAACCTGGAGACTCACCTATTTCTCAAGTAATGGGCGGATGGGCGCTCGCACCGGCAGGCAGCCTGTGGCCGTGGGAATATCACTGATGAAAATTGAATGTAATTTGTTATTCAGTGCGCGGCCACTCATGATTTATGTACACTGCCCCAGAAGTACTCAAAGTCATCGGATGTCACGCGTTGTGCTCATCCGTAGGTTGGACCCATAAAAGCACGCATACTGCCAGAGTTGGCTAGCTAGTGTCAGCCCACCCCTCTACTTCTCTTGAAACCCAGGCGATCGATCAAGTCCCTTCTCTTCCATCATTTCTACCATCGCTGCTCCTGTCGAGGAGCGTGTATTTTCGACTCAGCCAGTTTCCGATGACTACTTACGTTAGGGGGAGTGAGCAGTTGCTTCACTTCCAAATCTACCCTGCGCCCTAAATATTGTGTCGCCTGCTCCTGTGAAGCTGTATCTATCTTGAAGCGACAGTACGTTGATATGATGTCGATCATCCACAATATGACTTTCATTCCCACATTCGCATCTATCTTATCACACAAGTGCATTTCATTTTTGCCACAAAACAGCCTTCATAGTATCCACCCTACGATAGTGCAACGCGTGTGAACAAAAAAATTCCCCCAATCCTATCCTCGAATCTTGCTGGAAATGAAATGGTACCTGCGTAACTGACATGGTAAGTCGAGCGCTTTCCACCGAACTGAGAATGAGCTGCTGATTACCTCACATAGTATTTCCATTGGGTCCAAGTGCAGCACTGTTACGGTCTCAATGTTGATTCAGTCATTCTTTGATATCGCTTGCTTCCGCGCCCTCCTTGTGCCAGGGAGGCGCGCAGCATCTGCAGTGTATATTGTTCCGCACCTCAATAGGCAGCACCGGAGCTCATAAATCTCATATTGGTCATCCACAACAATCATAACAAGAATCAAATTAGCAACGAAATTGGAACAGCCAAAAGCCCAATATTAATCAACACTTTAGACGTGTCCCTTGACGGTATCAGTCGCGAGCCGTTCTTGTACTCGTTCAACTTCATGGACCCAATCGGCTCGCAATACTATCCAGGTTGATATCAATGCATTGAACGCAAGCGCCATAGCGAGACCGATCCAAAGGCCAAAGAGTCCGATGTTAAACTTGATTGTCAACAATAAACCTGGCGAACGAGTGAAACAAATTCATATTATTATTTCCGTCTCCTGAACAAGGGACGACACTCACCAAACGGGATGCCAAGAACGTAGTAGGAAACGAAGTTGAGCAATGCACCTAGCTTTTGCCTACCACTTGAGCGCAGAATACCTGCAGTGACGGCACAAGTCGCATCAAAGATCTGAACGCGGCGTGAATCGTCTTGGGCTACTATGTGATACGGCTTCCGTACCTGGAAAACAGCCACCAACGGCAGAATATTCCCGACCAGCAACACAACCTCCGGATCAGAGTTGAAGATGTATGCCCAGTTCTTACGGAATGAGATAAAGATGGCCCTGTGTGTGATATAAAGTGAGATGGCCTTCGAAACTCCAAGAGATCAATAGCATTTACATGCAGCAAAGTCCAAATCCAAACCCCATGAGTAGGGAGACGGATGAACCGATTTTTGCTCTAAGCGCATTACCTGCTCCAAAATATAACTTACATCGATCCTAGAATATCTTGGAATTACTCACCGGCACCTAACATGTTCCCGATCCTATACAAAAAAATGAGCCATGGACACATGTCTGTGGGGGAACGTACCTAACAGAAGCCGCAACGCTGAGCGCATACGGAGCCTGATATGATGAAGAACAAGATACAAGGAGGACCGATTGAGACGCGAGTGCCACTGGGCCCAGACTTCGTATCTCCTGTAAGCGAATGCTACTGCATAGAGATAGAGACTAAAGCGTACTAGCTCGCAGCAACTGGTGGGAGGATAGTTAGGACGATAAGATAATTGAGCTTGAGCCCAAAAAGATAAACTCTACCCACGACCAAGAAGTTCCCAACTCCACCACTCTGCCGCAAGTTGACCTGATTGACATAAGAATCAGGTGCTGTGTCCGCACCCAAGAGAAATCCTGCGGTCTAAACCTACCCGTTCCTGCCAAACCCAAATGCACCAGCACGCCAACGCTCTTGAAACTAGCAACACCAATAGGGTGCCAAGCATCCCTCGGGGCCCACCATATTGCATATATGCACGTCCCTACGCTAATCAAGTTGAAGGAAATTGCCGTGGCGATCGGTGCTCCGATAAAACCTAGACGGATCGCAGGAGGACCCCATACTGCCAAGTAGAAATGTCGATAAGAATGGTGCAATGCAAGCATCCACACTAGATCACATACCAAGAACATAGTTCAGAATGATGTTTACCGGCACGACGCACGTTACAATCATTGTCGGGACATGTAGCAAGCCTGAAGCGGAAGAACTTGTTGAAACAACACTGTCGATTCAAGAATATTGTACCCTCACCTTGCGACTGAAAATACCGACGCGTGACGGAATTGAATGCGTAGGCAGGTAGCCCGAGGCAAAGCCACTTCAGGTAGATCCCTGCAAGGTGGGCAACCTCCGGCTCTTGGCTGTCAGGGAAAAGGTCAAGGTTGAAGGGACCAACTGCACGAAAGATGCTTACTTCAACATGAGAAGTATACTCTCTGCATTAAGCCACATAGTGGAAATAGGCTGCGACACAAAAAAGACAATCAGTCAAATTACCGCATACCAAACAAGGGAATCAATGGATCGGGGATGTCGGGATTACGATCAGCACCCTGCACGTACTACGAGTATCACAGCAAGAAGGAGCATCATTCTCTGGGACCAGAGCCCAACTAGGCGCGGATTACTCGATGTCCATGCTTGAGGCAGGAGAGAATCTAAGGCAGACACGAACCCTAGAATGACGGAAAGCCCCGTCACCTGACCAGAGCCGAATTCAGTCGAGGTTCACAAGTGACACAAAAGAAGCGACTCATACAGAAGAAGTCATGGAGCCTAAAGTGGCAGCGGCAAGGGCAGTGGTAGAGAGGTGGCCTATAGAGATGATGGAAGCGACTGAAAGCGAGTATTCCAGGACATGAGTGCTGGCAATGACAACACAACGAGGGAGCTTGATCAGTGAATTCATAGCAATCAAGTTATAACTAGCCTACCCAAGGACAGGGAGAGTATACTTCCATATTATCCCCGCCTCTTGTTTCCACACTTGCGTCTCAAGTAGAGTGTGCGTTTCCTCAGTGCCATCAGCAGTTTCTTGGATTCGTGGGGTGTCAGCCAGGAGGGAGTCTTGCTCATAAGCCACCCCCCAAGAGGGGGCATTCAGATGTGATATACTGGCGAAAGACCCTCTACGGTCTTGTTGAGATCCTGGACTCGCAAGTTCATTTCCGATGGCATCGTGGTGTTTAGGCGAAACGATTGTGGCGCCATAGTGACTGAACGAAGGTCGTCCGTGACTTCCAGGGACCCTAGGGAAATGCTTAGGAGACCCGGAAACAGTGTTGTTGTCATCAATGAGTTCATTGTGGGGAGAACCACGCTCGTCATCGCTGCAGTCCCGTGAACTGTCCTCATCGTGATCCAGACCCGCAAACTGCGATACAACGGCATAGTCATTTGACAGTGAGGGAGGACCAGCTCTGTGAAAAGAGGGGGAGGACATAGGTTAGAACGGTAAAAGCTGCGATGGGGCCACTGACAAATTTAAGAGGTCACATTGCAATTGCCGAGAATAATCGCGGAATCGAGCGTGGGAACAGGACAAATTAAATACCGAATGACCTTGGGTGGGGCGGCTGTCGCGGGTAATCACTTGGATAAAATAGATCCCCCTCCCTCAGCCCAGGTGTTGGTTCTTGCTCGTTGAGCCCTTCTTGACAAGACCTAGGTTGTGGGCTCACTCTGCTTTCAAACACTTTCACCCTGGTATCCAATCGCCCAACATGCCCGTATATATCCTGCAAACTTCATTTAATTGCGGCTTCTTGGAAGGAACCCTCATCGGGGAGGGGGCGATGTTTCCCGAGGATTTGTACCTAGGCCAGGGTTCTATGTTGGGTTCTATGTACACCCTTCAAGCACGACGGTCCAACAGGGCCAACGAAATGACAAGAGTGCATGCTGACACGGAGATGACGCACTAACGGTACGAAGCAACAACAACATGTCCAGGAATCGACATGAGAACGCCCTCCTCAAGGTCTCACATTGCAGGCCTCAACTGCCTACGAGCCAAATGCACTTGTCCATGTAGCCTAATGAAGAATGGCGGTGATGCAGAGCCTCCCTAGGAAGAGCATGAAAATCTCTCACTAAGAAGCGGCTGCACACTTTGGGCGTCATTCAGAATTCCCGTTAGTACAAACTTGCCAAATTCAAACAGGGCACGTTCCGGAAGTGGCCTCCCACCCGAGCAAGCCCTTCAAGTTCTATGCTGCTACTTGCTGTTCCCACTACGATGAATACAAACTGCATGGTGCCCCCAGCCTACTATTGCTTATTGAGACCCAACCCTTTGACGACCCCACGACGGGGACGCCAAATTTCATGGTCGACGCTCCGGCCGGGCCGGCCCGCGCCAAAGCGGGATGTTGAGGAACGGTGGCGCACAGACGGTACCGTTGCATGTTAGGGTCTCTGGAACATATGGCACCATCTTGGCCTCATGTTAGGCCCCACAGCAACCACAACGCGTATTCGAACCTCATCACAATGGAAATCTCACAGATGAACCCAGATATGCGTTTTGCCCAATTATGACAAGTAACATGACCCTCCCATACTGTTCGGAAGCCGAAAAGACGCTCATCCAAAATGGCAAGTTTTCTTGCCCTGACTAAGGCCTCGGCGATGTCCCTTCACATTTAAAAGGCTTCTCTGGGTTCGCACGAATGATTTTCGGTGCCAAAGGTCGTGCTGGAGAGCGCTTAAGGCCAGGTGCGGGGACGGGCCAGGATTTAACCCCTTATATATCTGCTTTAATATCACAAAGATTGGTCTCATTACAGTGTCTGCTGCTGATGATGATATCACCCCTGACTGTTGGGTCTATGGCCTATCATCCTGCACGGAACGCAGCGACACGTGCCGTCAGCGGTTATGCTAGGTGAGTATACTGTGCGCGTGAGATCGCCGCAAGTCCGTGTTCGGGTGTTCATCACGTTGCAAGATCCTGCACTGCGCACAGTCCAGGGGAAATGAAGATTCGATGTATAGGAGGCCGGTCAAACTAATATTGCCATACTCAAGGAACCCAATCGATCAACTTGAAGTAAAAGGCTAGAAAACAAAACTGGAAACGGATAGCACATTTGGCCCCCTTACCTGTACTTGCCCACCGTGTCACCAGTGTCGATAGTGAGCCAAAATCGATAACAAAGGTGTAGGTGGAGTGGCGTAACTCAGTCAAGGGGTGGATAATGACACGACGTCGTTTGTTTCTTAGCGTCTATTTAAAGACAGCTCCTCTCATACTCGGAGACGAATGTATGGAAGGATGGTTGTGTTGTCTGATCGCACGTAACTATCGATGGTATTGCGGTGTGAATCAATGTGGCACGATCTGCAACTAAATATGGAAGTACAAGCGGTCTCTGGATATGCGAGATGCCACCGAGTTCCGAGGCATGAAATCGATACGGGGAGAGCCGGCATGTACGGAGTTGCCTTGATTGATACAAATCCTGAAACGTCATCGGGTGTCCAGAAGAACAGAATCATCTCGAATGATAAGCGAGTCTAATCCACGGGCCACGGAGTGGTACGGTTGGCGATTCCAGCCAAATTTGGACCCACCCTAGTGGTCAACGAGTCTCCAGGAAGCGATCGAGTCACTGGTACTATACTGCAACAAAGGATGTATCATGACGCGGCATTCCAGCTTTGCTTGTCATTTCTTAGCTGCACTCGCGATTCACCGTCGTAGCCCCATCTGGATTCGACTGGTGCTCTTCCCATATCATGGCGCTGCGGAATGCCAGGGGCTGGTTTATGACTTGGAATGTGACCCTTCATTATGCTCCCCTGCACTGCTCGCGGGCAGCCTACCAGCATGGCATTAAGGAAACTCCTTTGTCTCATCGCTTCGTGTCGGACGGACTACGATTTGTCCGCCCCTGCGATGATCCCATCATTTTAGAAGCAATCTCTTGTTTGAGTTTTCTCCCTCTCAAACGAGTATTATCCGATAATGGAAAAAGTCTGCTTCCGATCTACATCGTACCGATCGAGTCATGGTCTATCAGCCTTGACCCAGACAATCTCATCTACAGCTGGTGACCTGGTTACAGATGACCTTGCCTTTATTCACGGGTCCATCAAGTGTGAACCGAGAAGATCACCTTCAGTCTCTGGAAGACTATATGATCAGTTCCCCTTAGTTCGTAATCTTACAGCGCCCCGCGACACAGTACGCCACAAACCGAAGAGCCACGACAAGAGCCCATTTTAAACTCTGACGGTCTAACCCAATGAGTGGCTTTGTTTGTCTGGGCAGACGGGACTCGTGACTCCATGCTTTCTGATGCTCATTTGTCTTTATTCGAAACCCAGAAGGCTAGCTACTCCCCCAGTATCCAGTAAATATACCCTAGCAGTGTTCCCCCCTGCATAGAGTAGTCGGATGTTGATTCCGATTGTTTAGGCACGCTTCTGTTTCTAACTGGGTAATACTCTCGTGTCTACCACTGGTGACCACAAACTTCCCACCAAGACGCAATCGGGGACTTTCCGTGTTCCATATTTGGTCTAGTGTGCAGGCCAATGTTTTGCAATGTTGGCAGGTCTCGCTTCGACTTCCGCGGCCTTCTGACTCTTCCGCTGTTGCGAGTCGCTGATCCATTCAATTCTCTCTACGCCCCGCCAGATAAGGTATCGCTGTCGTGATAAACCCCCATCCGGCCAAGAAGCTTATAAGAAGCCCGTAACGCTACTGATCCCTCCCTTGTGGATCGATCTGCCTTGCAAATCGCATGTGCGCAACAATCGTCGAGCTTGCGGCGCTTCTCTTTGCATCTTCGTGAGAAATTAAAGGTCAGCTGGTGACCAGATCCAAAAGGGCAGCCCAGAGGGGGCCACCTCGCTCTGCAATGCCGCAGTGCTGATGGAGCATGATGGACGTCAGCCTCCCTGGGTCCTAACCTACCTTTCAGCTTTGCAAATGTCCGCTGGGAGTTTAAGTTGCCCCCTTCGTGCGACGGGGCTCGTAACTCATGTATGCTGCCCAAGTTACCTTGCGCCCCCGTGTTGTTCAACGCGCACTTCCGTGAGTCCACTGTTGTGTTCGTAACCTTGCTTTCAAGTCTGCTTCCTCGGCGTAATCCTCCGTTTTCGCGCACCTCTCCTTCCCTACCGCCTCCAACCGTGGCCCTGTGGCCTTTTAGCTGTGCCGTAACCCGTCTGTTATTGGTACCGCATCTTCCCTGTCTCCTATACGTTTTCCGTTTAGTTGCGTGTTTCCTGTATTTCTCCTTGCTTTTGTCCTGGATTCTTTGTGTATTCCTGTAGTTGTATCTGGTGCAACTCAACAAAGAAAATGACATTTTTCGCCCAGTAGTGCTTAATTTTGGGGCAATGTGAATGCTTTAGATACAGTCCTTTGATCCAGTGGCAGCAAAAACATACACTCACAGAGCGTGCCGAGAGGGTCCCAGAGGGCGGAGTGCCACAACAATTATGTAGACGGATTCGATTGATAGTTATGTTCCCTCTGTCGGTAAATTTCACTATCCGCGCACCAAAGGCACTGCAAGCTCAACCATTCAGTTTGAAGGAAACCCTAATAGTACAAGTGGCTTAGCAGTAGCTGACAACGGAGACTTTTTTGGCTAGGTGCGACCCAAAGTTTCAGGAATGTTCCCTTGCGACAACAAATATGCACTCCTACCTTCCCTGCGGATCTACTACTTCGCACCAGTTTGTCCCACACATTATCCCCAAAGATGACTTTGAACGAAAAAGGTCACCCGGAACACAAAACAGCACGAAGACATGAGATATCGATGAATAATCATGTGGGCAATTCAGCATGTCATCAGCATTGGTGTAGAACACAAACCACGCCAGCTCATAGGGATGGAAGGCCGCAATCCCTCTTAGATGTCAATGGTGCGCGGAAGTACTCCCAATTCCTGGATTCGAGACCAGGTATGCCATAAGCGCGGAGCCGTGGCGAGGCGGACAAGGACAAGCCCTGATCGACAGGAATAACGAGCCTCCAAACATGATGACACCAAGCCGATCGAGGGAAATTGTTTGACAGCAATTACGTGAAATCTCTAGTTGACCGACCCAAGAATTGCCAGCGGGAGTACTGTTTAGACGCAGCCCAATAGAAATCAACAGCCGACTCCGGCAAAGATGATCCAGTGTTTCTATGAGGGTTCTCCTGAAAGCAAAGGTTTAGCTTGCTGAACCTTGACTAAAAATTGCTGTGCGAGCATTCGTTTTGGATCCACGGCATGATAAGTAACCACTTGGGCGAAACCAACACGCAAAAAACCCTGCAACATGAGCCAATTACTCGCTGGGAATGGTCAAAACGATGGTGTCTATTATGAGGCATTATCGGTTGGGACATTTACAAGTGAAAACGAAGATTCAGTGGAAGGCGTCGGGAGAGGAACCAGTAGATTCCCAAGTCTAGGCGGGGACGCGGGTGTGATAAATTCCGTTCTGAAAGGCAACCTAACAGCGGCCAGTTTGAGGGCTGCATAGAACGATCAGGAAAGGCGACAGTACAGGAAAATGACTGTCCGTATACCTTCTCGTGCTATCTCCTCTCGCAAACCCCCTCCTCCTACTTCGAAAATAACCCTACCCGGGGCAGCTCTATCTATAGAAGTAAGAAATACCCAAGTCCCTCAACGGAACAGTGACATGCCTGCATGCCCAATATTCAAAGCTCCCTTTTCCCTTGCCCATGCGCGTCTCATTTCCCTAAGAAAAGCCTCATTGTACCAATAGGGTGGAGCCTTCACTTCGTTACAGCTTACCTTCACACAGACTGGTATATCAGGAAAGACACGCATCCAAACATTTGAGCCTTTGACCACTTTCAGCTTCCGCTTCAAAGCATTATCGGCGCTTTGGAGTTGTTTGGCGGTAATGCGCCCACCTTCATCACCAACTATGCGGATGCCATAATCTCCGAATTGGAGGGTGGTCCCCTTGGTTGAGCCACCAGTGGGAAGGATGACACGGCCCTTATGAGCTTTCCTGTATTTGACCTTACGGGGCGCTAGCTCAGAGCGATGGCGCACCTGCCATAGTACAGGAGACGGAAGGCTGAGAACTCTCTTGAAGAAGGACTGGATCACCGGCATTAATGAATATTGGTGCCAGGTCACGTGTCTGGAACGATTTCGTTGTACTTGACATGTTGTACGCTACGAGGCGTTGCGGATTTTTAGGAGGTGTTGCGAACGCGTTATGGATCTTTGCGAAGCATTGCGAACACGTTACAATTTTCATGATGGCATTAGAGGGTGTTATGAATCGTTACAATGGTGTTTTGACACCTTGACATGTCATGTTAGGGCACACACAGATGGGCCCTCGATCCAGCCCCGCATGTCAAGAGCCATGCGCGAGGTTCTGACGCTTAGTCAAATGCATGCCCCATCCACTGGTCGCTCTACATTGGTCAACCAGTAGGGTCGCACCCAGTCCAGATGAAGTTGTCTATGATTACCGTGCTTGCACATCGCAAGTTATATATCGCATTCCCTGTAAACCCAACACACATATAACCTGACCACGTCATAGCGTTCAGTCCCTCTCCTTCCCCTCACCCTTCCATAGTGATGTCCTGAACTTCGCACCTATTCTTTCCCCCATCATGGACACGTTTGTTCTACATCTGTATTATTACACCGTTGTGTCCGTCCAGCTGCACACAAGTGTATTTTATGTACTTACGGCTTGCATATGCACACAATTGGCCCCACGTAAATGTCATGTTGCTACAAACATGACAATTTAGAAATACGGCGATTCCCGATTTCCGACATCTGACTCCAGGAACGACGACCAGACGGTCCAACGCTCACGTTCCAGTGCCATGTCCAAGCGCCCGGCACCCAACGATGCTGGAAATGTGTCGAAGAAGATGAAAAGGTCAGTTCGGCATGCATGTATCTAATCCATTTCACTGACGTTAGTATTTGTGTAGTGATCTGGTAAGTCCCTATCTCCATAATGAAGGTAAATGTCGTGTCTTGCAACCTGACAACCCACTCTATAACTTCTTTTCGCATAAATAGGCTGAGTCGTCCGGTATTCAATCTTCTAACGCAGCTGTGAGTTCACTACACTGGTCGTCCAACACGTCGCTCAACACTAATTTCTGCTCTCAGCTCTCGCATGAAGAACGAATTGCTAAAGCGAAGGCTGAGATTGCGGCGAAGATGGCTTCTTTCGGTGTAGGCAAGAAGTTAGGTGGCCCATCTCCCTCTCAGTTCACAGTCCCGGCGCTCTCTTCAACCTCCGCCTCGTTACCTGCTCGTCCAGCGGCAGCTACGACACCCACCCTCAACCTTACTGAGATGGCTAGACAAGTAGCGGAAGCCAAGAGGCTTGCCGCTACAAGTCTGGCGAACAAAGCGGTACAACAGAACCCGTATCTCGTCAGTCGCCCCAGCTGCATCATAACCCTATGTTGCCTTCTGATAGCACCCCACACAGTCCCTTCCTACAGCTGGGAAAAAAAAAGTGGTACCTGAACCTGCTCCGGTGGGAAGCGGACTCAAGACAGCAGTTCATCCGCTCCTATTAGATCCTGCACCATTGGCGCCGCAATCCAGCAAAGATCGCTACAAACCTATGCAGCCAAAATTTGCGTCTATCAAGGTAGATCGGTGTATATCTATCCAATGTATGCCCGTCGCTTATTTGTTCATCAGGCGAATGCAAGGATAGCCTCAGCGTCGCCTGCACCACCCACTCCCCCTTCTCGCCCGCCATCCACTGCTGAGCCTTCCAATCCGTACGCCACAACGTCCACAACACTCGAAGGCGGATTTCAAGGTGCTCCGAGAATGCGCGTTGGCGGTACTTTCCGATTCAACCCCAAAGGCAAGTACGTCCAGCTGGCGGAGCAGATGAGGAAAGAGGTGCGTGTCACTCATATGATCCATACTCTATGCGTCGGCTTATCCTCTCTCGCATTAGGCTCAACTCGGGGCCATCAAGCAGCGAATCGCCGAACGCGCTGCAAAGGCTGGTCTCGACAGCGAGTTTGAGGTTCTGGAGAAGAATATTAGAGTATGTTGCTGTAGCCTTTACAAGTTCCCTTCGCCTACTTAGTTATTCATTAGAGTGAAGCCCCGCCTGAAGTTGAATGGTGGGATGTTGCACTATTGCCAAATAAGACATACGACGACCTCGACCTTGGGATGGACGTGGTCAAGATCAGGACTGAGGATTCGCCCATTAATGAGTATGTCCAGCATCCCATACCAATTCCAGCGCCATGGGACAAGAACGCAGTCCCACTGAAGCCCTTGAAACTCACGAAGACGGTGGGGTTCCAGTTGCGTAACTATATCCGGTTTCATTGATGAAACTTTATACCCCCCGTAGGAAACGAAAAAGATACGCCGGAACCGCCGGAAGGCCGAGCAGCAAGACAAACAAGATCGTATTCGTATGGGTCTCATCCCACCAGATCCGCCTAAAGGTATGCATTTCACAAGCATTTAGCTGTCCAGTGGTTCACGTTAGGATGACATTCCCATCAGTTCGCCTCGCGAACCTAATGAAGGTTCTAACTTCTGATGCTGTTCAAGATCCAACCAAGGTCGAAGCGCGTGTTCGGCGTGAAGTTGCGATGCGCAAGCTCGCTCACGATAAAATGAACGAAAGTCGCAAACTCACGGACGAGCAGCGCAGGCAGAAGATTGAAAACAAGAAGCTAGAAGAAGAGAAGAAGGGCTTGTTCGGAGCAGTGTACAAGTTGTGTTCATTCCTGCCATGCGGGCCCCCCAGTTGCTGACTAATGCTCCAGAATTAAAACACTCAAGGATCCATCCCACAGATTCAAAGTGCGAAAGAACGCTGAACAGTGTGGACTTACGGGTATTACACTCTTCAACCCGAACTACAATCTCGTCATCGTGGAGGGTTCGGCGAAAGCCATCAAGCAATATAATCGACTCATGACGGTCCGTATTAACTGGACCCAAGCTGCTCAAGCTCGTCATGGAGATGACGATGAAGGCGGAGGCGAAACTGAAGAAAAGCCACTCAATCCACTGGAAGAAGAGGAGATTCTTTTCAATCAGAACCACGAAGGCGAAGACGAGGAGGTTTCATTGGAAGATAACCGGTGCGACCTGACGTGGGAGGGTCCCTTGCGAGACCGGGCATTCAAGGCATTCAAGGTCCGAAATTGCCCAACCGACACGATTGCCAAGGATGCATTGGGCCCCAGATGGATGGGCCATTGGGATCTTGCGAAGTCGTTCATTCCTGAGGAAGAGCTCTGATTGTATGCCTTGTCCTCGGCGAGCGAGAAGTTAGCCCGATATCTCATCCAATTTTTCCCCGACAAAGTACATAAAATTACAAATCGAGTGCTTATGATACATCCAAATGTCGTACTTTACTCTGAGTGGGAGCCTTCAAAACATGAAGAGAATCTGCTACCCCGGCACAACCCCAAGTATGCAGGTGGGAGTTAACTGCTCAAGTGCGGAAAAAGCGCGCTGCTTGTCGCGGAGTCCCAGGAACTTCCCCGTGGCGTAAAGAGTCCAGTCTGATAATGTGTCAGCAATCAAGAAACAATCACTACTTGCCATTTACAAACCTCCAATCCTGTCGAAGTCGGACAGCAACAACCTCAAGTGAAGACTTTGCACCTCGCTCCTGAATGAGCGAAACCGTACAACCTTCAAATGAGGGTGAGGCGAGCGTGTTCCCGGTGTTCAATAGGGGAGAAGCGATCGCGGAGAGTGAAGGATTGATGCTTTTGGGAGCGATCTGGACTCGGAAAGTAACCGCTTTACTGATGACAGTTTTTCCGGTGGGCCCTTGTCGCGGAGATGTTTATCAACTTTCCAATCAAGGAAAGAAATGCAGGAGCCTCACCACGCATGTAGTTGATATGACATCTCAACATACCATTGGTCTCCGACGTATCGGCTTCGTCAACTAAAGCCCCAAACGAACGCAGGATACGAGCACATTCCATTCGGGCCTTCTCGCAGGTATCCTGGGACTGGAACACATAGGCCTAAAGATGGGCCTAGGTTTAGAAAGTACTCAAAGATGGAATTACGACTTACAGCAGGCTTAACGTTGAAGAGCTGAGCAAACCAGCTAATTCCCACAGGCTCAAAGACTGCAGCTGGAGCAGTCATTGGGGTTGAAGGCATGACAACGGAGGTACGGTTTTGCTTCTTGTTTGGCTTGCTCAAATCCAAGGGACAAGCTATCAAACAGGACACAGGAGTACTGAGTATCTCGGCAATTTCGGTGACGGACATTGACGTACGCCTCGGCTTGGCTTCCAGACGATCTCCCCTGGGTTCTCCCTCATGTATCTCGCTGTTCTGAGAAGGAAACGGCGAGTTTTCCTTTTGAGACGACGTTTCCTTTGAGCTAGATAATATATCCGTCCCTTTCTGAGGGCCCGCAGACGGAACAGAGTTGGATTGGTCAGTGGCAAGAACTGGAGCCTTGGGTAATCCCGCCCCAGAATGGAGTATTGAGTGTGCCTCTTCCCTTCTAGCGCTGGGAAGGCTGGTTAGTGGGCTAGATACACTACCATCACGATCATGGGATCTGAGGCTTGAAGACGCGATGCTCGGCTTCGAATTTCGATCAACTCCCCAGGTGGAACTCTTGTCAATGTTCAAGTCATCTGCAAGCTTCGAATTCTCCGCCTTGCTGTCCCCCAGTAGCACGGACCCGTCCTTCGCGGACACGGAGTCATCATTGCAAGATCCGACTCCTACGAAGCCATCCACATTCAGACCAATACTTCTGGGAGGGCGAAACGAAGACATCATAGCATCAAGGTTAAGCGAAAAACGTTCCGTGAAGACTGGAGACTGTTGAAAAACGGAAAATGTTTCTTGCACACTAACTTGTGAAGGAGGTGGGGACGGATAACCAGGATGCGCATGCTCCTGATGTGCGACAGAGGATTTAGGCACAGCAAGCGAAGATCTCTTGAAGACAGCAACGGTAGGAGCCTCCCGAGTCGCCTGGGATTCCGTAGCGCGACGCCGAGGAGATACTTTGGGAGATTCTGATGCGATCGCAGTGGAATTCGTGTTGTTGAGATCAGGAGAAAATGTCAAAGGAACGTGGCGAGGGGATTTAGGCGGAGGAAAGGGACGAGGACCAGCAGGAGGGGTACCAAGACGAGAAGATACTTCAGCAGGGAGGCGCACATCTTGCGTAACAGAGGTTCGATTCTGGTCGGGGAGCGCGATTCCTAAACCAACCAAAGGAGCACCATTAGAATGAATACCACTCGTACCCATGATTGTAGCATTTCGAAGTCGCTGCTCGGTGAGGCGCTGTACGATACGAGCACGGTTGCCAGAAGGGTTAACAGACCTCAAAGGAGGCGAAACAGGGCTAGACTCTTTAGGAAAATTGTCATGCGCATACGCATGGTGAGTTTCATACAGCTCTGAAGCTGGCAGATTCGAGCTAAACGAACTCGTAGGCTCTGTAAGAATTCGTTGTGGGGCAGGGCGAGCGGGATATTCCGGATTCACTACTCTCGGTTCAGGGACCTTGAAGACCTTTGGCGTACCTGGTGAGGGTGAGGGTTTCTCGGCAGTAGCTTCAGTCTCTGCAACCGTAGGAAGAACTCTAGGTTGTGGCGTGGACACAGCTGGGTAACCATCTGGCACCTCCGAAATGGATCGCGGACGTGGTCCCCCAATGTCTGCTCGGGACCAACGACGAGAGCTCGAAGAGGTAGAGGCACTGTCCACACGGGCTGCGTGCTGCGCGACTGATCCCAGACTAGCCTTGGTTCCCTCAGAGCGATTCACACTTTCGGAAGGGATAGAATTTTCCCTAAGAGTGTATCGTGCTTGATCAGGGCTCGCAGACACCGAGGAAGCCGCATATCTGGCTTTTATTGTCCCATTAGGTCCATTGCTTTGAAGAGACGAACGATTTCTTGCCAAAGATGTCGACATGATGATTGGATCTTCCTTTCCAGTGGGGTCAATAAATGACATCCCATTACCATATTCCTCGGATTGACGCTCTGCGTAGTCTTTTAAGAGATGATAGAAAGCCTTCTCCCATGTCTTCTCCGGCGAAACCAAGGACTTCACAATCTCTCGTTGAGATACTCCCCGAAATAGGGTCGTCAGATTCTCAAGAATAAGGAGATCAATGTGTGATTCTGACTCAAGTGGCCGAGCCAGCGCGGAAAAGGGGGGTGGTGATATAAGGGGGACCTTGACAGTAAATTCAAGATTGAAGAACGGATGAGCTAAAATCCTGCGCATCTAGGTAACGGTAGCCATTCATGTGATGCGTAGGGATGAATGCTTGTTAGGGACCTTACCGAGATACGTCGTCCTGGTGCGACCACCAACATGCGAGCAAGGAGATCCTTAGCATCATGAGGTATATCTCTGGGCATCTTGAACCGTCCTGAGCGAACACGTTTGAGAAGTTCGCCGATATCTGGATGGTCGAAAGGCAGACATCCTGTCAAGAGGGCATACAAGACAACACCGCAAGACCAGATATCGGAAGCTGCACCATGGTAAGCCTTCCCCGCAACGATCTCGGGGCTCGCATAATGCGGGCTACCGCAGCTCGTCTGGAGGAACCCTGTCCCTCCGTGGAGCTCCAGGGCAGCCATGCCAAAATCTGCTATCTTGATATTACGATTAGCGTTGAGTAACAGATTCTCCGGCTTAAGGTCACGATGGCAAATATTAAACTGGTGACAATAGTCCACACCGCTGATAATTTGTTTGAAGTAACAGAGAGCTTCTTGGAGGGGTAGACGCCCTTTGGATACGAGATGGTCGAAGAGCTCTCCTCCTTCCACATATTCCAACAACAAATAACTGCCAGGAAACTGCTATGCCAAACCTTCCGCCACGATAATTAATGGAACACTCACAGCTCGTCTTCATTCTCATAAACGTCGTACATGTGCATGATATGGGGATGGTGAATGAGCTTCAAGACCACCATTTCTCGGCGAATGCTTTGCATAACCTTTTCCGCCTTGGCGTCAACACTACCATCCGATCGAAGCTTGGGCACTATCTTGATAGCCGCAATCTTCCCCGTGTGCCGATTCTTGGCGAGGCGGACACGTCCTAGGAGCCATAGATGAACAGGCATCATAGTAGGATTGACATAGAGCGTGAAAACTTACCACTCGCGCCTTTCCCAATTGTTTCGCCCATCAACCAAGGACCAACCCACCTCCTCTCCGTAAAGTCATCAGGGGGCTTCGGGGAACCTGCAATTTCCTTCTCGTATCGGGTCGCTCCATCCTTCTTGCGTTTCAGACGGGGTGGAGAGATCGGCTTGACTCTAGATGTATTTGTAACATAATGTTGGTCATCTCCCCCAGAATTGATGACATTCATATTTTTTAAAAGTGGTTCGAAAGATGTAAGATGTTCGTGAGATCGTGATCGAAGTGGTGTTGGACGCGAGATGTTCGGAATGCGCTGGCGGAAAGGTATGAGAAAGAAAGAGAGAATTCGCGTCACCTTCGCGTGTACCGTGAGTCTAGCAGCAATTATGGCTTCTGTGAAGAAGTCAGAGCCCAGAAATCCACGACCGTCAACGCGGGTGCGCCAACAAAGAATGGGTTGAAACAGGGTACTTAATAAATGGGCAGATATTATGTAATTGATGCAGGCGACCAGCCTCCCAGCCGTAGAATTAAACGTCAAGATTCCAGGTTCCAAGACCTGTCCAACTTCGTGATTTAGCAAATCCTAGCACAGTGGCAAAGGAAATGGGATATACAACGCGCAGGCCGCGATTCCCGATTGGTGTACAAAGAATGTGGCGCACATCGACTCTGCGTTCTTGTCAGTTAGATGTACTCTATATTATAGGACAGCTCAAGGACAATTCAGCAGCGGCTACATGGAATCCACGAATGAGCTGCAAACCAAAGTAATGGCATACAATCCAGTGGCGGAGGTACAATGTACGCACGAACAACACGGAGCAGAAACATCAACGGGCAGAGACACACCACCCCGATGATCAGAAGAAATCCAGATCAATCACTTGAAAAACAGCTTTCATTCCTTGCTCGTGATGTTAATACTTCACCTCGCGCAAATCTTCGTCATCCCCTTCGGATCTCGCATGATGCTCGTGGGTATTGTGTACCTCAGAACCGTTAGTGTGATCCGGATCGGCGGGTTCTGGCCTCTTTTCCATGGCTGTCACTGTCATGTCCCTATTTTCACTCGAATTTACATCGGAAATAGCATACGACCGCCGTTGTTGTCTCTGCTGGCTAATCATGTCAGGTGGAAGAACTCTAGCACTAAGAGGGAAAGGTCGACGGCCTGAATGGAGCAGGAAAAAGAATTGTACAACTTACGCAGCCATTGCTCCAGTAATGGGTGCATTGTGCATGACGGCCGATTCAGCTGGGTTGGCCGTGTCAACATTCGGTGCTATTTCAGAATAGTCAAGGTGCTTCAACAACGCATCTGCGGAAGCATCAAATGCATTTCGGTCCCAACACAACCACACTTGACTCATCATGACGCACAGATAAGTGTAGCGAGGAAAGCCCCCAAGAGTTGTCCAAGGTAGTAGACCCACGCGTTGCTAGGAGAAAGGGGCAGGAATAATCAGGTGGAACCTAAACGGGAGACATAGGTGGCATGCGCACCTAGGGAAATCCCCATTGACAACGGATGGACCAAACGATCTCGCTGGGTTCATACCGGCTCCTGTCCACCCAATACTCGCAAGATGTCCTATGAACAGAGCCAATCCAATGCACACCGGAGCAAGAAAGGTACTGACCAAACCAACAGGCACGAACGAAGGTTTTCATTGTCCAAGGGTCAAATGCGTAATACGGAAACGAAAATCGTTGGAGGTAGAAAACCGTAGAAGCATTCTGCACACCTTCGATGCTTTTCGGCCGCCAGCATTAATACAGAAAACACGAGTACAGAGGTAGTGAACATCTCGATACCAAGGGCTTGCCCGTTGCTCACTCCGTTGGCCGTTTTGTTGACGACGGAGAATCCGATAGGGCCACGCTGGACCGTCAGCCCCTTCGAGATAGCCGCTGCTGCAATGCCCCCAATCATTTGGGCAAAGAAAACGAGAATGGCGCGAAAGGTCGTAATCCCGCCAATGAACCAGAGCGAGAGGGTGACTATTGGCAAGTGAGATGGACTGTCGCGCAAAACGGGTTTCAGGAAGGCAAGATATGTACCTGCAGGGTTGAAAGCTGCCCCAGTGACGCGGAAAAAACACCAGCAAGTCACGGTGAGCGCCATCCCAAAGGATAAGGCTATGAAGAGGATGGTAGTGTTATCTGGAACATTGGCGTAGGATAATTTGTCTCTTCATCACAAAGCGAAGGATCTGGGTTTACCTTGGCCATCGACATTCGCCCGATACAGGTTCGCCGACTGTGCTGCAAAGGAGAAGGAAATACATTGGTAGCGGGTAACATTACCGTGGCACAATGGACTCACCTCCCGTAAACGCCAACCACAAGAACAAGAAGGTGCCTATAAACTCGCCTACCATGGCGAGATAATCGTACATTTTGCGGTGTGCAGGGCGACTGGGCATTAGACTCCAAGCCGTTCTTGGTCCACCTTGCTCAGGGTCAGTTTGCTGATCATGAAATCGTGAAGTTTCTTGCTTGTCGGTGGAATCGCGTGGACCGCGGATGATAAATCGGAGCAATGAGTGAGGCATAGTGATTTTTCGATAGTGAAAGTCACGAAAGGGAAGAAGTTATCAGTCGCCTTTTATGCGTCATAAGGCAGAGCTCGGTTCTAGATGCAACTGTCCATGTAAGAAAGCGGGATGACACCTTGGTCTTGTGCCTATAAAATTTGAAATAATGAAATTGGGTCGCGTTCTCATAATTGCATGTAAACTTGAAACCTCCATTGATACGAGAGGCTCGGGGGAGACACAGGATGGAACCTAGAAACGCTATCAGCTGATGTAACTGTTGAAAGGATTTATATGGTGTGACGTACACCGCTGAGCTGTAGCACTCATGGCTCAATCAATCCAACATCCCTAGTCATAGGCACCTCTGCAAGGTAACCTCGACAAGTGCCTGATATGAATATGTCATGGCTTGATTCATTTTCACCTTGACTCTCCAACACTCTGACCATAACGATTCAATTCAGTGACCGAAATACCATCTAACAGCGTGGGTCGTACGTGCCGGACGACCGTTTCTCACTCTCAAGCCTCGCTCTTTAAGGTTCTAACCTTCACACCGAATTGTGACGGTTCCGACACGGTCGCTCAAGTCTAGGGGGTTCACGCCGAGTTTTTTGCATAGTCCAATCTCGCGCAACACACGAGAGTGCAATGTCAAAAGACTTAGGAGTGCAATTTGATTCAAACAAGATGGGAGAGGGGCAGGAGAGTCAAGACAGAGGACACAGCCGAAGGAACAAGTATTCCAATGTACATATACAATGCAGTGGGCACTGTCAAGGTCTGACATTTGATCAAAAGTGCAGCCGAAGGGCACTCATATACTAGAAAGGCTGCTTCGCAGCCATGACCTTGCTATCCGATCACATGAACACTGCTAGGCTCACAAGCTCAAGATGATGTGGTTTGGCATTTGGTTCCTGATTCAAGGGGTGTTGATTCAGCCATTGCTGAACCCCGGGTTGAAGGGGAGGGTGGCAAGCTGCACAACTGCTGTATTTTCGGACACCATTTCATATATACTTATGCTACATCTATGAAGAGAATTGACGCTTGTGCCATCTGCAATTTCTTCCGTGGTAATTTGTCTTGTACAACACATTAAGTGGAAGATTGTGTGCCAATTCCTAAAATCAAGTACAGGATTCAAAAAATCGACTCCCCTTGTGCTGATTTTACTTTTGGTTTTTCTTGAGTTAGCCAAATTCCTGCTACTCTGTAGCGGGTCTTGTAAATTTTCCGACCTTGATTGAATGCATTTGATGACAAGGTCCTCTATTATTGCCAATTTGGGATAACCCAGGGTCCTCCCATTATTATCCATTCTCAGTTATACTCTTATCTGTCGAAATTGTATCCGGTGCGACTACTGGACTTATCTGGAGCTCCAATTCAAATGGCTTCAAATCCAGGTCACGTGGCAAGGACATAAAATCATGGACAAGCCTGGTATCGAACCCAGGACCTCTAGCGTGCATCCATACACTACTTGCCCTTGAGCCATGCCGGTATAGGCTGTTAAACTCTATACTATTGGGAACATATTATATTCTCCAACATTATCTTCCCCCTGCATTCTTTCTACTTCTCAATTGTTACCCAGCAACTTGCCATCTCATTCATGCAATGTTCAAAGATATCTGCACACTGTCTCTGTTAAGGATTGCAAAAAGATCAGTGTTGTCGAGGCATTCCAAAGTAAGCACAAGTGCTGATGGTTATCCTTTGTGGCCATCATTCACTTCACTTGAGCACAGAACCTTCGACCTCCACAGAAGGGTCTTTGTCAGGGCACACCCGCCTAACCCGGCCCCACCCGGCCCCACTTCACCTGGTACCCCGCCACCCAGTCTCCTCCTACCTCCTCCCCCTTCCTCTTTCTTTCTTTCTTCATTTCACTTCCTCTTCACTTATTTCACTTTCTCTTTATTTTCTCTTTATTCTACATGGACGACCTTTCCCTGTATCAATGTACCATTGACCCACCTGCAGCGTGCTCATGACACGCCCAGCCTGGGCGCCTCAGGCAACCCCCCGCTATGCCCAGCTTGCACATTCACAGCGGACGCCCTCAGGATCCCCCATGGGGACACCTGGGTGACTACGGCTGTATGCGAGGATGACGTGGCACCCGTCATGTGACCCAAGCTGCATGTATATAAACATACCTGAAGTGGGAACCGAAGAAGTAGCCTTCTTCTCACCCTTTTCCACTTCAGGTAAGTAGCATAGCATTCCCCTTTTAATAATAATAACACCCTTTTCCACTTCAGTCTAAGTGGCCAGGGACTGTCTCCTGAGCTGGGCCCACCAGTACGCACGCCCGCTCCGCACCCTGCGAGACTTCTAGTGTTGGGCATCTCACCCGGGCCCTGTCAGGGCACACCTGCCTGACCCCACGCTGCACCCCGTGCCGTACTGCACTACCCCACTATCACTCCCCCTCTCTCCTCCCCCACTTTCCCCTTTCTCCCTATCTCTATTTCTATTTCTATCCTACGGTCGATTTCCCTTTCTCTATGTACCACTACATACCTAACCCCACCCCCCCCTGATCGCCACATGCGCCGCGCACACTCCCGCCTACTGAGCGGCCACCCCCGGGATCTCCTGCGGAGACACCCAGGGAGGTGCGGAGATGACGTGGCTTCCTCCACGTGACCCTAGCCGCATGTATATAATAGTGCCTGGGGTGGGAACAGAAGAAGCAGCCTTCTTCTCAACTTCCCACTTCAGGTAAGTACCGTAGCTTTCCCCTTTAATGATAATCTCAACTTCCCACTTCAGTGGTTGGGGACGCTCACCCCGCGATGGGATCGCCGCTACGCACAGCTGCTATTTGTCCCACCGAGTCCTGCGCACAGGGACCTCGCCGCTTTCGGAGCTGTCCCTGACACGGGATGACGAACGTCGTATCTAGTCTGTACCATAACGGGATATGTAATCAATGAGTGATCCCAGTCTTGCATGGGAGTGGACGATCGAATTCCCATCGATTGTGATTGGTGATGTAGTGAGCTATTAAGGAATTGATGGTAGGTAGTCGGAGACGTCAGGACGGATGGGTCAGCCACGGGTACTTGGCGCTCCTCAATGGAGCGTACCGTGTGTGAGGTGGGTGAGAACTTCATATAACTGCCATCGGGTACTTGGCGTTCGCAGTGCGAATGTACTGGTAGCGGGTTGATATCATGAGCGTGCAATGAGGATTGACTAACGGGGCCTTTGGTGACTTGGCGTTCCCAAAGGGAATGTACCATTGGTGGGGGAATATGATGACTGATGAAGGAGGGAACAGACAGTGGATGGGCGGCTACTTGGCGTTCGCATAGCGAACGTGCCGGCATCACGGGAAAGTGGACCTCAGAGTATTCACGATCTCCAAGATCGTGATGTGACGTCGTCTGTCGAGCACTGGGGGGAGAGTGGAGTGATGAAGTCCTGTAGGGTACAGATTCCATAGGATGATACACATGTCAAGAGTCTTCAACTCGCGACCTCGAGTTCTCACGGCGAGGACCGTTAGAGGACTCGACATAACCAGACTTATAAGACATGTTGTGAGTTGTACAGTCACACAGGTTCAGTTGAGTCACAGGAAGGGTTGTTACAGAAGACGACACACAAGACAGTTGTAGAGAGTAGTTGTTAGTTAGTGGGAACTGCCTTCAGCGGTTTCCGTACAAGACGCGTGACTATCTACAAATGGTAAGGTTGCGGGAAATCCTGCGAAACACAAGTAACCTTGGCCAGCACCAAAACCCCAATGGGGAAAGCTTTGCACGAGGGGGGGGAAAGGGGTAGAACGAGTAAGGAGGGTAGGGTATCGGGATAGAGGACGAAAGGGAGAAAGAGGGGGAGTGATAGAGAGGAGAAGTCTTTGACTATGCGATGGATATGGTCGTTGGAGACTCCGTATCTGTAACACCCACAATCTTCTCCCATCCACTGTCGGGGCACACCTGCCTGACCCGGCTCCACCTGGCCCAACCTGACCCAGTACCCCGCTGTCCACCCTTCTGTCAGGGCACACCCCACCTGACCCCACACTGTGCCGCCCTACTCCGCTCCCCCACTATCACTCCCTGTTTCTTCTTTCCCCTTTCCTTCTTCCTTTCTATTTCCGTTCCATGGTCGACTTCCCCTTCTCTATGTATTACTACACACCTAACCCCACTCCCCTGATCGCTGTGCCTGCCGTGCGCATTCCCGCTCACAGAGCGGCACACCCCCAGGACCTCCCACGGAGATACCCAGGGGAGTGTGGCTGTGTGCGGGGATGACGTGGCTCCTCCCACGTGACCCCAACCGCATGTATATAATAGCACCTGGGGTGGGAACAGAAGAAGCAGCCTTCTTCTCAACTTCCCACTTCAGGTAAGTACTGTAGCTTCCCCCCTTTTAATGATAATTCAACTTCCCACTTCAGACTAAGTGGTCGGGGACGCTCACCCCGCAACGGGACCGTCGCTACACATAGCCAACATCTGTCCCATCGAGTCCCTCGCGCCGGGACCTCGCCGCTTTCGGAGCTGTCCCTGACAGCAGAAGAAGGCTTTAACCTCATTTCCCCCGCCTCCCCCATCTCCCCCGCTATGGTGACTGAAGAGCAGTATGACGAGCTGCTGTCCCAATTCCAAGAGCTCCAAGCTATTGTAGAGAGCCAAGTCCAGAACCAACCCCCAGCTGCGCCCGCACCCGCGCCAGCACCCGCACCCGCACCCGCCCCCGCCCCCACCCCCAGACCCAAACCGCCTAAAGTTGCCCCCCCCACTCCCTTCTCTGGAGCAACCGAAGACCTTGACCGCTTCAAGGCTGAATGTGGCATCTACTTCCACGTTCGGGTGGCGGAGTTTCCT